AACCCCTTAACAATACTTAAACCAATACCTTTATTAGAACCCGTAACAATTGCAACTTTAGTAGACATGTCTTTTTCTATTGCAATACAGCGCTTAACTAAAATTGACAGAAGTGTTAGTAGAACGACGTTAAATGTTATCGGTAATGAATGTTTTAGTGATAACACCGTTCAAAAATAAACTACTTATCATTGTACATACAATGCTTTCCTTGATATAATATCAATATTTTGCTGCTCAAATATCAATGGATTTTAATGTTTTAATTAGCTACACATAAGTTTGATCAACTATAGTTGTAATACTCATACAAGTTTTTTTAAAATTATTATATCATAAATGTGACATAAAAACAATCCACCTGATGGTAAACAAATATTGTGAACCATAGAAACCTACATATATCTTTGATTAAGAATAAAAGTACCAGTAAACAAAGCCTTTGCTTCTCTACAATCACCATAAAATACAGTGTGATGTAGTTTTGTAGTCTACACGTATTAACACACAAAAATATATATTACATCAGATTTAAGTTTAGATTAAGCATTAGTCTAAATAAAGTTTTAGATCATCATGCCTTTCCTATATTGAGACACTTCCATATTAAATGGTGACCCTGCCAGGATCTATTAACATTAAAATTTTAAGGTACATTTTACTTGTATTCACATAATGTTATATTGGTTTTTTATATACAAAATAAGCGTGACAAACGAGTACACAGTCCACCTGATGGTAAGTCGTTTCTGTGGCGCATAGACATCTACATTTATCCTGAGTTAAGAATCAAAATGCAGATGCGTCGCCATCTCTAAGGACTATCATGGAATGCCTCTTTCCTCCTCGTCTCCGGTTCACTACACTCATCATACCAAATACAGCAAAATTAAGCTGCTATTTTACGTTGGTATTATTCTGTGGAGCGTGCCCTGGTCGAGCCGACCCATTTGGGCTATAACCATAATATAGCTACAGCGTTACCACGTATATAGTTCTAGTTTGATGTAATCGCAAATATTTTCTTGTGCGTACCTACTTTGGAATTTAAAGTAAAAGGGGTCACAAATCGCTTGCGCTTCTGGGTTGATGATAATAATGATAACGTTGCTTACTGTATATCATATGTAATTTATTAATTTATTTTTGGTTTATAATTGATTAAATTTTCAAATCATAACTTTTAAATTTTATAATTTTCTGATAAAATAGTAGAGTATTAATATCTTACCTATTTGTTTTCTTTTTCTTTTTTTAATTATTTTCTTCGTATTTTGAAATTCCTCTTGTGTATACAATTAACTTAGATAAATTTTGTTGCGATCATTGTGAGCCTCATTCCTTGACTCAAAATGATGTACCTAAATAATATAAGAGACCTATATTATATAAAGTAAAATGTATGGTGAAGTTACGGCGTATGCAATTATTAATGAAAAATATTGATAGTGTGTAGGTGTGAGTGACGTAGGTAAAGAAAATTGTCAGAGGTTAGCATATCCACATACAATCAGCCTGATCAGCTGAGAGCTTGGAATACCTAATAACTTATTAATGTATTAAGGTTGTTCAGATGCAATTGAATGTGGAATGAGTATAAATGTAATGATTAATGAGGGAAATGAGAATTTATTAAGAATTGTATGGAAATATTGCCCATTATCTTGATCGTTTACCTGAAATAAATGGTACAATTATATAATAAATTATCTTAAGATATGAATTGCTACAAATTCAAAAACGGTAAATGAAATGATATTGCCCAATGTCTTGGTCATGTAAATACGCGAGTCGTGTACGCGATAGAAATGACATAAATATTTAATGAATAGCACAATGCTTTGGAGACAATGAAAAATAAGTAATGTTTAACAAAAAAAATTTTGTAAATATTATAAATAAATAAATAAAATGAAATATGAAAAAAATATGAAAATGAAAAATAATATTATGATACTATTTTCATTTTCATATTTTATATATTATCATCGTCCGGACTAGATAAGTTGTATAATGACAAGATGATTACAGTCACTAAATTTCTTAATAACTAAGTGACTAAGGAAAAATGTAAACGTATGTAGACGTATAACATTAATTGACAGTTACGAATCTAAGTACATTGCACAAGTAACAAGATTGTTAACTTAAAATTACGATTAGGCAAGAGGATCTGGCTGTTCGACCAACCCATATAATACACCCATCTGGATCTATTGCATTTTTGTAATTTATATTATTTTTACGCATAATATATTTTTGAGTCAATAAAAAATAAAGATATTAATATTTTGAATTGTTTGTGAGTGGGAGGTGTGATGTAGTGTTATAACCCACATGACATCATTATGTATTAGGGTTAAGTTTAGAATAATTAGTACTCTTAATAAAATTCTAGACAGATCGACGCACCTGTCTCTCATTAAACAGTTCCCACATTACAATACGGCAGCATTAAGCTGTTATTTTACGCTGATATTCTCTTAGAGCCTAGACGTTCCACGGTCGAGCAGATCCATACGCGTTGTAGCCATAGTATACCAACAGCCCGGCTCTACCACTCTGTATATAATTTCCATGTTAAAAGCAAGTATCATTCTGAAAGAAAAATGAAAAAATTTTGTTAAGATTGAGCAAATTTTATTATTAATAATAAGTTATTTAAATTTAATTTTAAATAACATTCAATTTTGTGCTATATAAGTACATACATGGAGCTTTAAAAATCACTTCTACGAATATGTTTTATAATACTATGAAAGCAAGAACACAGTTTAATATGTTTTATTGATAAAGTTTTTAAAAAACAATTAAATATTTTGTTTTTTATCTTTTGAGACTAATTGCTCTATGTACGTAGATATCTTGAAATAATACTCTCCATTGCAATCGTACCAATCTACAGCTTTTCCATCGTACCAAATATAAGCTCCCTTTAAAGAATCAGGTGCATCTAACACTATGTATAATGGAGTCTCAGAAGCTTGATCAACGCTTAAAAAACCCATTACCTTTCGTCATATCTGTTCGCACGAATCCGGGATGCATAGAGTTCACAGAAATATTTCTTTTTAACAACTCTTTTTGCTGTAAAATTGTTATTGCGCTAAGAGCAACTTTCGATACCCTGTATGCTGCAATTGTCCCACCGTCTGCTATATCTTCTTTTTTGAATGATTTATTTTTACATCCCTCGAGAAACCAATCAACAAATTCAAGGATATCTTTTAATGTCAAATCCTTGCTTGATAATCTGTCAGCCCAGTAGGGGAGAAGTGGCATGAAGGAGCCAGGTTTTGAAAGAGCCACTTACATTATTTTGCTAGTTTATGAACGGATTTGATTGGTAATTTTATTTTTAAGTGGCTACATTGATTCCCCGTCACCCACAAACATTTGACAGTCCGCCGAAACCAGCGGACGCCGGTACATCGAGTTAAAGTTTTTGGTACTAAAAAGTAAGGAGTTTGCTTCATTTAACTTGTTTTTTGGTATTTTATTATAAAGAGATATCGGTAAATGGATTGTAGATTGAGTTTGTGCATAAACTTGGCCTTGCAGCTGCGTAAAAACTGAGCCGCAAAAGTTTTGATATTGTTGTTATTTTTAATGTTATATTTTTTTAAAGAATAAGTTATGAAAGAGCCGGGTGAATGGGCCTTAGAAGAGCTGGCTCTTTCATAACCAGCTCTTTCATAACCCTGCATTTAAATATTGTAAATAAAATAAAAATAATAGTAAATATGCATTTTTTCATATATTATTAAATTATTTGCTTCAGATATTGCATTATAGGGAAGCCTGGTCCAAAAAAAAAAAAAAACGAAAATTGACCAGAAAAATCGGTAGTTGAAGAAGCAGTTAGTGAAGTTTTGGAGATACATCAACCAATAAACAAAACTGCACACATCTTTAATATATTGAGGGGACACTTAGATAAAGTAGTTAAAAAAGTAAAGGCTTCTGGTGAATCTGCTTTTAAACGCTGCCCTAATATAGGAAATAAGCGTATTTTCACAACAGACAAAGAAAATATGTTTGCGGATTATTTAAAGACTGCTTCTAAAATGTGCTATGGCCTAACAAGGTAACAAACTAAGAAGCTGGCATTTGATTATGCCATGGCTAATTATATCACTCCAGATAAATGGAGGGAAATCATTGCAGCAAATCATGTGAAAACAGTGATCAAGATTGGTTTTAGTGCAAAATTTATTCTGATTGGAATCATGAATTCTGCGGCATTAAGGGAAAATGTAATTTCTTTTGAAAGACATATTTCCAAATTTAAGCAAATTACATTATATATTCCAAAGTTCCTAAAAAGTCTGAATCTTAAACCTAAGCAAATAGATAGTAAAGACTTTGAAGCTCAAAGTGAGCAATATTTTTTTTAAAGTTCTTAAAGATTTAACTACTTATGTTGTTTTTGATAGATGTTTGTTATTTTGTTTAAATTTTAAGATTGTTATTAATAAAAAATAATACGCCTCTAATATGTTAGGATTATATATATATATATATTAAAATTATGACTGAATAATATGTTAAGATTTAAGCGTTGTTAGAATCACTTAAAATGACTGATAGAATTAAAAATTTCTTCAAAATGTCACTAGTTTTTAAAAAGGATTTGTTAGCACTGTCTTTTTGCTTAATTTTCACAATTACACTTTACAATACAGACTGACTCTTTCATAACTTTTAGTAGCTCTTTCAATACCGAAATGTTATGAAAGAGCCAAAAGACACATTTTATTTAAATGAATATTTTGTTGATTTTTTCATAGCGTTTAAGGTTTTTTTAATAAATAAATAATAATTGAAGAAAAAAATATCATCATTTCTTTCACTAAAAGTATGTTTATTTGCTCCGTTTAGTAAACTGGCTCTTTCATGCCACTTCTCCCCTACTTGTTTCTTATATTAGAAAGATGTCCACAGTCACTAGAAATATTGAGAATTCGACCATTATCTCTTAATAATGGAAAAATTAATTCTTAAATAGTTAAAATGCTTTTAAAATTGATATCTATTATCTTCTTGTTTTCCTCAAAGTCGTATGAAAAATCGATGTAATTGGCATTGGCAAAACCAGCATTGTTAATAAGAATATCTATACCACCACACTTTTCTTGTATGTGATCCCGAAATTTTGAAATACTTTCTCTATCACTTACATCCAGTTGATGATATTCAGGATGCAATCCTTGTTTGTTTAAATCAGCAACCGCAGCTTTACCCCTTCCTTCATCTCTTGAAGTTAAATAAACAACTCCATCGAATCTTTTGCACAAACCTTTCACTATGCTTAATCCAATACCCTTATTTGATCCGGTGACAACGGCGACTTTTTTTGACATGTCGTTTCTTATCAAGCACCGATAAATTACTAAATTAAGCGCATGATCGTGTGGACTAATCTTATCAGCGATGTATTTTAATTATGTAAAAGTATATCGTAATATAATCTTCTCTATATCGATCTGTTCATTATGAGTGTTAAATACACCTGTTCTAACAAAAAGCATTCATCCGTGAAAAGTACGTGGTTCAAAAACTCAGGATCTCATAATGTTTTCTTATAACGCAAACAGTACTCATTGAACAAAATGATGTTTACGGATTTTATCGAATTTAATTTACTTATTTTAATTCCAGACGTTTCGACGTTCGATGTCATAGTTAGGCTGGCTACCTTCAACTTTTGAATATTAGTTTTTATCTTGAAGTCTTGTAGTAGTATGCTTGGATTTGGATTTAATTTTGTTAATTATAAGATCCAAAGCAGATGGCAGCACCATCCCTCTACTTCATATAATATAATACACAAATATGTATTGATATAGTACGACATTTATAGATACATACATACAAACAGAGCGTAACGCCTGTTGACCCCAAGGGAATAGGTAGAGTACCAATAGTAGCAAACTACATGGACCACATTGGCCAAAACCTATAGTTTATATGGATAATTCTAAAAGAATGATAGGTGATTAGTCGATCACCTACACAATCTAAACTCAATATCCCTTTAGTGGCCTTTTACGACATTCTAGGCAAATAGCATAGTTACACATAAACATGGAACATGTGAATTCCGAGACTAATCTTAGACAAGTTACATGTTTTTTTTTTTATTTAAATCACAGTTCATCTGCTATTGTTTCTTTTACAGCACCTTTTATACGTTTATTTAAATTATTTTACTTTAAACATTTTATACTCTTTTAATTTTTTTTTATTTTCTTTTATTTTATTTTTTTTAATTATTTTTTCATATTTTTTTAAAAATAATTTATAATTAACACTTACATTTTTAAAACTAATTATTAATTGTCATGTATTCCGCTACTCTTTTTCAATGTTTTAGGCTAATTACATTATCTGTTTGAAGCTAATTACATTAACTACTTCATTTTCTTATGTTTTATTATTTACAACGACCCTTTAAGTTACATGTTACATGCTACCCATCGCCAAATTTCGGTCCCAAACTCAATAGAATACCAGACATAAAAGAAGCTCTACCCGCGGTAGATCGAAGCTGCTGCAGCTATATTATTATTGTAGCACGAATGTATCGACTCAAATGGAGAGTTATTACGCTCTCATTGAATATCCGCGTAAAAAATTGCAGCCTAATGCTGCTGTGTTTCATATGGTAAGTGTAGAGAACTGGATACCCTTATTAATGGAAACGAAGCATTCATTTTTATTACTCAGTGGTGACAATGCATCTGCATTTTGTTAATCGAGGATACCCTCAGGATAGCGCATAACTTCTGAGCATTTATGTGTTTTTGAAATATTTATTTATTTATTCTTTATTGTATTCCTTATAACAATATAATACATAGGGTGGACTGAATGCCTTGAGGCATGTCTGAGTCAATCCATAGTGGTTAGAAGTTGATAAATACCTTATTTTATATATTGTAAACTTTACGTGTAAACGAACACATCCATGGCCATCTTATTCAGAATTAAATTACCTTTAAATGGTTTTAAAATTATTCATTTACTACAGCTTTTAACTTTAATAACGTTTTTCATACTACTAACCTCTTTATTTATGCTGCCAAGTCGCAACATGTCAAATGTGTATATTCATATCAGACACGCGATAATAATGAAAAAAAAACTGCAACTTTGTTCTTAATTTTATCGAAAACTAAGACATTTCGAGCGCTGAAACTTTGTATACGTTGTTATAAAAACAGATTTTTCGAACAGTAGTAATTTGACTAAGAGTTTTCGAGCGCCGAAACTTTGTATTTGTATACGTTGTTTTAAAAATAGATTTTTCGAACAGTATAATTTGAAAGTGCTAACTTTGGGTAGTAACCTAAAGGAAAGCCTATAATATTCTGTTTGTTGTATTGAGCTATTGTTGTTATAGTCTCACTATTTCTTATTTTAGTCCAATTAGGGGCTTTAGTTCTTTTATATGCCTTGTGTTAGCAATGACTTCGAAACCTATTACATGGAGATTATTTTATTATTTTTAATTATATCAAGCCGGCTTTTCATTTTTATTATAACTTTAATTTTAAGGCCACTTTCAAAAATTATTAAAAAGCCACCAAATACGTAATAATAAAATCTATGAACACAAGTATAATAATATTGGACGCCACTGAGGTGAATAAATAGAAAATAAATTGAACGCGCCGAGCACAGGTCGTGTGGTTTTTGCCAGTGACAGCTTTTTGTGTAAGTACCTAACGCGACTTAATACGAAGTCGTTCAATTCGTTGCAGCCTACAAAATCACAACAATCAAATTTTTATCATAAATGGAACATTCTGAGTACACTGATCACTTATCAGTGTGATCAATAAATAACAGCTCGTTAGGTACATCCTAGTACTACATACTACAGTCCTACCATGAGGTGGCGTCGTAAGACCCATCACCCTATTTCGCCGTGGGTGTCGTAAGAGGTGACTATGGTAGATGCCAGAAAAACTTTAAGGCTTTCAGCAGATTTCGCTGTACCATCTCGTTAACGTCAGACGTAAAAAGTCAGCAGTCGGCCGCCCGGCATATGTGAAATATCGCAATAGATGGTGGATGATAGAATTTATGTGTAATGTAAACCAATAAATAATTATAGAGTAAAAACTTAAATATATAAAAAGACACACGTAGTACACAAATCACATACAGAAGCAACGAAGTATATAGTATAACGCACGCACACATAACAAGTGGCGTAGAGGGCATAAGAATGCGTCGTGCTGTTTGCCGCCGGTTTTACTACCAAGGTGCGCCAATAATCGCGCCAATTTTACATCAAAAATGTGGACTAAGGGTACAAAACTTCTGATTACTTATTTAGAGATACATAACATACATTACAAACACAAATGTAAAGCAATTATCAACGTATACAAAATACATGCATAAGAACTTGATCACAAATCTAACTTCAAGTACACAGCTTGGTAATTCGATTATGTGTACGCCTGTCAAGCGTAACGATTACCAACCAGAATCATGTGTAGCCCAAAAGTTTTCAAACCCATAAAGAAATAGAAAGAAGGTACAATCCATTGCTAAACGAAGGACCCCATGTAATAGGATAAAGGACGATTCTAAGCTACTCGGATCCATCGACTTCCCTAACATATTAGATGGGGATGCATAACACTCTTACCGGTATGATGCTACTATCACAATATTTAAGATTTTAATATTATTTAACTTAGATTCGGGTCATAAATATTAATTAATTTGTCTCAATTTCGAAGAGCAGCTTCCTTATCTTTCTCAAGTGTCTGTACTATCACCGTCACCACTTCTCACAAGACCACCATCCAAAAAAAAGCACACCACTTTCGTTAATACAACACGTGTTTTGGCTTTAAAGCTTTAATTTTATGGATTTCTGCTAAGTAAGCCTGATATTAATTACTATAACAATTTAAAAAAGGGTTACTAAGACTTGATACTATAATCAGGCCTGTCTCACTCTACGCTTTAGGTATGAAAATATACCTACGCTTCGCGGCCCCCTACGAGGAGCTAATCACAGCACGGGCTAAAGCGCGCGTGACAATCCGTGAGATTTCGAGTTGACGCGCGTCTTAAGTTAACATAAAAAATATTTTTCTCTTATAAGTATTTAGGCACCTTTGATATTTTTTTAAGATTTTATTCAAGTGTGGCCTCTCATTAAACGAAAACTACTGCATAGCAACTAGGATATTGAAAGGTAAAATGTTATTATTTATAGGTAGATCTAGATAATTTGGTACATAGTTACTGACGCCATAGTAACAGTTTTATTATTTAATTAGCATTATATATATTTTAGACAAGTATCCAAATTAAGCCCAGTAGACTCAATTGCATATTATAAACCCAAAGAAAATTAATGGGTTCTGCTTGCTACTAAACTTAATTTGGTACTTAACTTAAGCTTTCAGTTCATAGTATAGTATGTTAAACTGAAGCAGAAGCTTTGTTAATACTTTACTTTAATTATGTTTTCTATTCTCAATCTTGTTTCGGTCGTTTTAGTGCATTACGTTTAAATTGTCTTTTTTGCAGGCGGGTTCTTGATTTTTTAAATTATTTATTGTTTAATTACTGTAGCCAGGCTTGTTATTGTTTCGCTCTTAGGTGAGAATTTTTTTTTAAATTTAAATGAGAACTCTAAAGGTAAAGCATACTTTGGTTTAACGCCAACAAAGACCTTAAACGGCAATAAGACAAAATGTATTAAATTTACCATACCTAAAGTTAAACATTCAAATACCAATGTGCTCTGGGTAGGAGTTGCTTCTTGTGGATACCACTGTTTTCCTTGGTATTACTTTTGAAGCGAAGCTTCCATGGGGCCGCCATATATCTAAATTAACAGGTAGACTTAGTTCTGCAGCATATGCTATAAAAAAGATTTAAAGTCTCACCAATGTTGAGACAGATTCGTTAATTTTAGTTACTTTCATAGATATCTTATGGCATTTTGCTATGGTTTAATGCGACTGACATTTAAGACATATTTGTTTTGCAAAAGAGAGCCGTACGGGCGATTTATAATTTAATTGTAATGAGTCCCTTCGCATGGACAGTTTCCACGAGCTTGTCATTCATATCGTCCACTTCATTGCAGTCTTCTAGGCACTGAAAACGGTTTTGTAACTCGAGCTGAAAGGTTTCGGGACTTTGGAACAGAGCACGAGTGTCCCTTCAGCGGTGCCAAGTTGACTGTTGGTATATCGAAGTGTTGAAGTGCTTGTACAGTAGGGCTACGATGGCTATCCGAGTACAGAACCAGAGTACGAAACCTATCCAATTGCAGAGAGGTGAAAGACAGGGTGACGTCATATCCCCGAAACTCTTCACCGCT